TTATAAGTACCTCCTGTCTTTGACTGTTCTGCAGGACTTCTAATTTTGGATAAGTAGTTTGCTCTTTCATTTAATGCCCTTAATGTTCCAGTGGCCTGGGACTCACTTACTAGAGCACAGTCTGCTGGGTTAGCTGACCCAGATGATTTAGCAAAGATCTAAGCTTGGGACCTGTTAATGATTTGTTAAATTTTACTGCTAAGTTGTTCTGTGGGATGAGTTAACTAGTCCCCTGACAAACATACCCCCTCCTATCAAGTAGCTTTTAATGACATAAATTATATGATACAGGGTTATCTGTGGGTTATGGGATATCTTTCTGGGGAAAAAGGATGGCCCCCTTCTGCTCCTTAATGAACATGTCATAAAATGTGAATAATCAAGAGTTTACTCAAATCAGATGTGTTGTACCGAAAAGGTGCAGATATCGCAGCCTAACTGTAAACTAGAACACAGTGTGGCAACCACACTTTAAATAGTGAATGCAGAAGAAGAAATATGTTACAGTGCTGCTACTTCTTCACTTCCTCTTGTACTACTTCGTATGTCGAGGGGTGTATAAAGTTCTGCTTCTTGCTCTTCTGGTCACCTCTGCCATAGTCACATTGTGACTAGTTTCTCTGTGGTTGTCTTTCCATTTTGTTCATGGTCTGCTTCTTTCTATCCCCCCCCTGAACCATGTTTATCAACTTCCTGATCCAGATGAAGCCCTGGAGTATTGGTTGAAGACCTTCCTTGGGTTGTTTGATAAACATGTACCAATGAAGGAAGTCAGAGTAAAGCATCAGAGTAAATCACCATGGATTACCCAGGAAGTAATTGAGATTATAAGAGAGAGAGATAGGGCACATACAAATTAGGACTTTGTAACATATAGGATTTTGCGTAATAAAGTTCAAAACATCATTCGAAAAGAAAAAAAGAATTTCTTTACTAAATTAGTAACAGATAAAACAAACAGTAAAGATATATGGAAGGCAATTAACACCTTGACTAACAGAAACAATTCATCACGTTTGGTTACATCAAATCATGTTACATCAGACGATTTAAGTAACTTCTTTCAAACAGATATAGAGCAGTCGAAGGCTGCAATACCACATTATCCATGTGATTTGTCCTTGCTGTCCTCGTTTTGTGAGACTAAATGCTCAAATGATATTCCTTCTGACATGCCGCTCATGTCAGTTACTGAAGTATTCACATATCTCACCAGTCTAAAAAACAGTCACGCTTCAGGTTTAGATGGAATCAGCAATAGGATCCTTCGGTGTGCTGCTTCAGTCGTTTGCGAGTCCTTAACTTTTATATATAACCAGTGTCTTGCCAAAGGCTATTTTCCTTCAGCCTTCAAAATTGCCAAAGCATATCCTCATCTCAAATCTGGCTCTTTGGACAGTAGTCTCCCAAGTAGCTATAGACCCATCTCCTTATTATCATCATTATCAAAGCCGCTAGAAAAACACATTCACAAAATAACACTCCAACATCTAGATAATAAAAAACTCATAATTGATAACCAATCAGGATTTCGACTAAAGTATTCGTGCCACACAGCCTTAACAAACATGATAGAAAACTGGCATCAGAATATTAACGAAGATAAAATTGCTGGGTGCGTGTTTATAGACTTTAGAAAAGCCTTTGACATGATAGACCATACTATCCTTATTAGAAAACTAGAAATAATGAACTTCAATTGTGACCTTTTCACGTTATTAAAATCCTTTTTGTTAAATAGGAAACAGGTAGTTTCATATAATAAATCCCTGTCGCAGACTACTGTGGTGAATACTGGAGTACCCCAGGGCTCTATTCTTGGCCCTCTGTTATTTGCCATTTATATAAATGATCTTCCTTTGTGTCTGTCGTCGTCGCGTGATTTATTTGCAGATGACTGTACAGTCTATACAAGTGCTCAAACGTGTGATATTTTAGAGTCATCTTTACAACAGGAATTAAACAATGTGGTTTCCTGGAGCAATGCAAACCGCATGCAAATAAATATTAGTAAAACAAAATGCATGTTAATATCAACAAGACAAAAACTATATTCTTTATCCGCTTCAGCTCTACATCAGTAACAACCCAGTAGAATGTGTAACTGAGCACAAAGCTTTAGGCGTAATTATTAATAGAAATTTAACCTTCACGTCTCATGTGCAAGCTCTAGTGAAACAAACAGCTAAAAAAGTATACCAGCTCGCAAAAATTAAACACTTTCTGGATGAAAACACCAGAAGGATATTTTACACCTCCCATATCCAGACCCATCTAGACTACTGCTCCACAATATGGGATGGCTGTCCAAGTTCAGTCATGAAACGGCTTAAAGCACTTCAAAAAAGAGCTGTACGCTTAGTCAGTAATAATAATGGAAGAGACATTTCCAGTATACATAAAGATCTTACGTTACTCCCCTTCCATAAACGACTACTTTTCAATAAGGCCAAAGTCATTCACAAAATCTTATCCAAAAATGCTCCCGATTACCTTTTGCCATTCTTTAAGTATAATGGGTGACATAGCAAACGCCTAAACATATTACACATTCCTAAACCTAGAATAGACTTGTACAAAACAAGCTTGGCGTACTCTGTAGCTCATCTGTGGAACCATCTTCCACAACCAATCAAAAATATCATCAACCCCTATAAATACAATTGGAAGCTTTTTGAATATTATCTCACTTCAGACTACATGCCCCCTTAGAAGAAAATAGTTTCATGAGAATATTGTTGATTTCCACCAAGATTTATTACATTTAGTATTATATTTGTTTTAAAATGTGGGCATACTTAGAGTACATTGTTACAAAGGTGTTGTTAATGATGCTTATGAATACTATTATTATTATCTGCTAAAACAATGTGTGCATGAATAATGTATGCATGGCGTGAGGCCAGAAGGGCAGAATGTAAGACGGGCCTATGTGCCCAATTCTCAACCCTTTGAAAATAAAGTTTGTTCGTTCGTTCGTTCTATGGCCCTCCCATCGTTTGATGTGTAGCCCTTGATTTGCTGTCCTTGTCTGTTATGACCTCATTTTATCTCTTCTGATCACTCTTGTAACCCTTCTTAGATGTCGCATTTCTATGGTTACTAATTTTTGTTTTTGGTTTGTTGTGAGTGACCATGCTTTGCACTGGTAACATGGGTAGGGAATGAATATGCTTTGTTTGAGATGTTTCTTTGTGCTGATCGAGACTGTCTTATGCAGCCCCTTTACATCTCATTGCATTCTCTGCAGCGATAATCCGGCTTGCTGGGTCCGTCGCAACTTCACCAGAACCATATTTTTCAGGACGTTTCACAGCTATGACCAAGGATGGTCTTCATGGCTACTTTAGCAGCCCCATGGTACAAGGCCAAACCACACTTGGCGCAATCCTGGCAGTCTCTTGCTTTGTCCTATTTACCATTAAAGTGAAAAAAGTGAACAAAACGTGAAATGAGCTGCACACGATGGCAGAGATGACTTGGCACAGATTGGTTTAGGGTCTTGCTACATTGAGGAATAAAAGGCAGAAAAATAAGACATTGTTTATATTATTTAATGAATAACTGCCTCTTTTGTTTTTCCTATCATTCTATGATATTCTTTAATTCACTGGCTGTCGAATCTTTAGATACCACTACCTGCTGGTCAGGCCTTGGTTGGCCATGGGTTAAGGGAGCCCATCTTGCAAGAAAAACCCGTTGAAGATGGAGGCACCAGGTCAAAAGGCGGATAGTATGAAGAAATAACCCCCCACAAACACAGCGCCATATATACCTTCATTAATGTTGAAAATACTGAGCATGTACTTCACTGCCGACTGTGTGCCGCGAACAGAGAGGCTATCTGGCCTGTTCCAGCCTCGGTCAGAACAAAGCTGTATGGCACATGAGGAGATTTGTATTGCACAATAGCTTTCATTAGGGCTACTGGTTTTCTGATGCAAGATTTTCGGCTCTCCTCCGAACTTCCGCCCCCGCATTATGGCGGCCTGAAATATCCGTTCGGGGCTCAGTTCTATTAAAAATATGCCGGCTCCGTATTACGAAACAAATGCTCTAACAGGGTCTCAGTGATATGTTACTTGCTGACCTGTTTCTTATTGTTTCTTATTACCTGACAATTCTAAGAGACGCAACACTGCAGACGATAGTAGTAGACGATAATAGCGACCGTTGACACTTTTCAGTGTCGCACTTTCTGCCGAGGAACAAATATGTAAAATGCGGACTTGTTTGACTTTCTGCCGATGAACAAATAGCGGCAAATCTAGGATCGGCTCGGAAAAACGAAACAAACACTCTAACAGGGTCTCAGCAATATGTTACCTGCGGACCTGTTTCTGTGACTATGCCTCACCGCCGAGCGTATGAAAGGGCTAAACTAGATGGCTGAGACTCACTAGCAGCAGCTACCGCATCTCCTGCAACTTCCTCCAATTACTTTGCTCGTGAGTCCCAGGCTCCTAGTTTAGCCCCCCATCCGCGCTGCACGTAGCGGTGAGTTTAATCACGTTTTGCTCATGCTGACAAGCCTGACATCTACTGCTGCTAAATCCTCAATCGGAAGAACAGTATTGCTAATCTGCGTGGGAGCACGTGGTCTACCGGCCATATCGCTTTCATCGTCTGTCAGGTCTCGACATTGTCACCGGTCGCTTTTATCATCTGCTACTATCGTCTGCAATGTTGCGTCTCTTGAAATTGTCAAGTAATCCTAGTTTTGCCGCGAGATTTGTTCCTTGGCAGAAAGTCCGCATTTTTTATTGGACGAGCTCCCGAACGGATATTTCAGGCCGCCATAATGCGGGAGGTAGAAGTTCAGAGGAGAGCCAGATTTTCTGACAGAAAGATCAAAGAAGAAGAAAACCTTTAGGTTGGCAGTCAAGGAGGAGAATACAGAAGACACGTCCTGTACAGTAAAAATTAATATTGTCGACAGTTTGACCATTCAATTATTAACACAGTCGGGCTAATATTTTGTTGTTGTTGTCGTTGATTAGATGGAAAAACAGAACCTGCCGACACAGGACATAGAAACGGGAATAGTAAGGACACCTGGACGGAGGTTCTGGTCTGGGATTTTGTCAACTGTGTTCTTGCAATCCATGACCCTAACATTTCTGGCTGAGTGGGGCGATCGTTCGCAGATAGCAACCATCATACTCGGAGCCAGAGAGGTGAGCGCATACCTGTTTGCTGTTTTAAAAAAAAAAAGGGTAAATTCGTTATTTTTCTTTCAACTTATCTATAGAAGAGATTATATTTAGATGTGTTTGTCATCATCTGGGGCTCAGGGATTATGGACAGAGTTTCATAACATACCAGGTTTGAATCAGCTGCAGGTATCTGGTAACAAACTGCTTTGCGTTGATTTTGTCAACAATTTAATCATCAAACCGCTCCGAATGCAGTTGGAAACTACTGGGCCTAAAATTTGCCTAGTAAATCCACAAATAGTTAAGAAATATTGTGGTTGGTTTGTGGGGTCTTGTAAAGGATATGCAGTTAACTTTATGTATTTTTAGCATCTATGCTTGACCATTACCTTGAATTCATGGCCAAGGTGATGTCCTTGACTCTTTAGTCCTCTTTACCTCTTTGCTTATATTGATGCTGTTTCTTTCATTCTCCTTCCGCTCTTTTTCTTCTATTCCTTTCATTCTCTATCTTCTCTTTATGTCTGGACTCCTTCGTCCTCCTTTCCTGTTTGCTCATATGGATGCTCTTTCTTTTGTCCATCTCCCCCTCTTAGTCTGTTTCTCCCTTACATTATCCTTCCTTCTTAACTTCTGTGCCTCTTTGTCCTCCTGCACTTCTTTCTCATGTGGAATTTTAATTGTTGTCTGGCGCACATTCACAGGACATCTTTGGTGTTATGCTGGGAGGCTGTATTGGTCACACAGTCTGTACAGGTGTGGCTGTTCTTGGAGGTAGATTTGTAGCACAAAGGATCTCTGTTAGAACAGGTGAGATGGTTTTCCTTTTTTTTTTAAATTGTGGTTAATTTCTCTATAGATCTGATATGGGTGTCATACCATTGTCATCTACACAGAATTGAGGTATACACTAGTTTTGCTGTAGTCTCAGTTGAACACAGATACAATGTGGTTTCACACCAGCTGGTTTTGTATAGTTTAAACCTGACATATTCACACCACTCTGTGTTCACACTTCACACCTGAAATGGTTCCACACCAGTTTTGTATATATAATTCTGACCGAACATGGTTTCACACCAGTCTCACCAAATACACAGAACTCAAATCTTACATTTTTATGCTCTAGCTGCAAAAGCCAAACCAAACCTCATAGTGTTAGCAGAGTGTCTCAGGTAGCCTGTATGTTGGCCAATTTCTCACACATTTACCACATGTCTCACACATTTACAACATGTCTAACACATTTACCACATGTCTCACACATTTACCACATAGCCTACACATTTACCACATGTCCTACACATTTACCACATATCCTACACATTTACCACATGTCCTACACATTTACCACATGTCCTACACATTTACCACATATCCTACACATTTACCACATATCCTACACATTTACCACATATCCTACACATTTACCACATGTCCTACACATTTACCACATGTCCTACACATTTACCACATGTCCTACACATTCATCAATTGTCCCGCATGCTCTCAATTGTTCTTACTATTCATTAACCCTTTCGTTGCTATGGACTCTGCTGCTAACATCACCACTGTGCTGCGCTTCTTCCTCGCTGACCATCTCCCTTGCGCTGAATACTTTTCTATCCTCCAAACCCAAAAGATGCATCGGCGTTGAGGGCTATATTTTTTACACCTAAAACTATTCACCCTAGGAAGGTAGGTGGTTGGCCCAAATGTTGAAAAGTCACGACTTACTATGGTGACGCCAAGAAATCTAATCTTTACAGACAGTAACTACTAGAAATTAGATTTAATTGCCCGGCTTCACTAGGGATAGTGACAGAAAATCTATCCTTTTTATTATTGTCTCCACTGCAGCCGTATATGTAGTAGACACTACACAGAGAAGCGAGCACAACATTTACCTTCCGACCGTCAGCAGGTACATTCTTTGAATGTTTCTGCCCCTTCACCTTCTTTACATGAGGATAGTGCAAGACTTGTTTTTCATTTTCCTAACCTCTGTTTCATTATTGTCTCCATCGCTGCCAGATGCTTATCAGATACCCCACACATTTTTAAAACATCTCATACATTTATTAAATATGCCAATGTTTATCAAATATCGCACATGTTTATCAGATACCCCACATGTTTATTAAATAACACACATTTATCAAATATTCCACATATTTATCAAGCATTTTACACATTTATCAAATATTTTACACATTTATTAAATAGCCTACAGATTTTCAAAAATTTCACACATTCATCTAATATCCGACACATTTTCCAAATATCTGACGTGTTTACAAAACACTTTTCAACTTGTGATCTTTTTGTTTCAGTGACTCTGATTGGTGGAGTGGTGTTTTTAATATTTGCTCTGTCAGCACTTTGGATTGGTCCAGACACATAGCAATAGTAATAAACACTGCAGTATATATAATCAAGTTATGTCACCATAAACTTCATCTCTTCATTTCGTTGTACACATGATTGTCATTGTACTGTTTAAAGAGGAGAATAATGACATATGTTTTTTGGGGGGACAAATATTCTTTCTAGGGAAATAAGTATTTGATTAGAATGATATTTATGGAAGAAGTATTGGCTGTTGCCTGTTTGATTGTTTTTTTTTGTTGGTTTTAATGAGGTATTTGTGTGCATGTTAGCGTATTGAGGGGCTAGCTATCATTTGAGATGTGAACTATTTGGGAGGGGGAATCTTTTGCAATATTAACATGTTGGAGGAGGGGGGGGGGTCTTTTAAGATTTGGATAGGAACTTTTAGGAGAGATCTTTGAGGGGTGTGAGCGTATGGTAGGGGAATCTTATGGGAAGTGAACATATAAGAACAAATAATTTAGGAAATGAACATATGAGAAAAGGATTCTTTTGGGATTTGAACGTTTTGGTGGGGGAATCGTTTGGGATATGAACATTTAGGAGAGGGAATCTGTTGGGATATGAACACTGTGGAGAGGGAATTTGTTTTGGATATGAACATTTTGTTTGGGAAAGGAAACATTTTGGGATATAAACTTTTTGGGAGGGATAATTGTTTTATGCAGCCAGGACAATTGGTAATAAATATTAGTAGTTTGTCAGAGTGTGTGTATGAGTTCTGTTCAAAAAGTTCCAACCTGTGACTGGGGAGATGTTCAAAAAGTTCCAACTTGTGACTGGGGAGATGTTCAAAAAGTTCCAACTTGTGACTGGGGAGACTAAAATTACTCCCTTGGAGGTCTGAAATCCAAATTCCAATCGAAGTAGTCTTCCTGGGACTGAACATACTTCTCACCAGAGTTTCTCCAATGTTGGTCACGTCTCAGGAAATTTTCTCGGGTAGTGGAGCACAGCTTGGCTGTCGTTTCAGCATATCTTCTCATAACTCAGATTAGATCTCTTTCAGCTGTATTTTTAGTCTGTGGAACAGCCAGATGGGGTGGGAGAGCCTGGAGACTTCTGATCCAGAGGTGTTTTGTGTTGCAGGTTAGATGCTTCAGATCTTTTAGCACAGTGAAATAGGAAATTAGTGTCTTTAAGATCTTTAGCTGGCACAAACATAAGTTAGAATGTTTGAAATCTTTAGCATGACACAATTTGAAATTAGAAAGTTTTGGATCACGAACATGATATTGAGTGAAATTGTAATGTTTCAGATCTTTAACATGCCACAAAGAAAGATTAGAATGCGTTTCAGATCTTAAGGTGACACAAAGGGAAATTAAAATGTTTTAATTCTTAAGCATGACACAAATAGAAATTAGAATCTTTGAGATCTTTAATTATGAAACAAAGGTAAATTGGAATGTTTCAGAATAATTGGCATTTCTATAATATTAGAAAAGCAAAGTTAGAATGTTTGGGATGTCTAACAAGACACAGAGGTAAATTATAATATTTCTGATTAATAACAAAACAAAAAAGTGGTGAATTAAATTAACAAAAAATGACATATTGACTTATAATGAAATCACCAAAAGAAGCGTGTCAATTATTGTTATCAGCTTCTGTGAAAAGATTCTGTTTTGCCTGCACATTTTGGGATAAGTTTATTTGTCGCATTAAATGGGTTTTCTTACACAAGGCAACAAAAATGTCTGTTCACATTAAACTTGTGTAAAGCAGTGGGGAAAATTATTATTATTTAATTTTTTTGTTTTTTAAATTAAATTTGTCTTTATTTGGCCTGATATTAAAGTTAATATGTTTATAAAGTTTGTTTTGTACATTTGTTGTTTTCCTCTTTATTTCCACATTTGGAGGTTTCTCATATTTCAAACATGACCACACAGACAATGGCACAAGGGAAACAGATATAATATTCTTCTTTTGCATTCCCCTTTGTCTCTCAGTGCCAGTCAGTGCAAAGAACTGTTTACTGTGTATACTAAATATTACTTCTTTGCAAACTATATCTATCCAACAACACAAGTCGCCCACATTGTTCTGTGTATATGGACCTTGTGGATGTTATGGTATGTTATTACAGTCGATTTCATTGCACATTGGGCATCCCCACATGTGCTCAATCCTCCAATGCAGTAGCCATTCCAAGGTACCTTTGCTCTTTGCTGATTGTTCACATGAGGAGCTGGTTAAAATATCTCATGTCTTTACCTCGAAAACAGCATAGTTGTGCTTCACCAAGCTAAACTCCTTGGTCAGCAGTCTTGATAGCATCACAGGTTCGCCTTTATCCCCCCACCTAGTCTGTACAGTGTTAATGGGTTTATTTACTCAAGGTAACAGAAATGTCTGTTCACACTAAACATGTGTAAAGCAATGGGGAAAAATTATTGTTATTGTTGTTGTTTGGATGAAGAACACTCATGCTTTTGTTGTCATCATTATTGCTTCAGTTATGATCTTCTGTCACTGAAAGACTTTAAAGGGCAAATAGTGCATTGTATTGTAGATTGTGTCGGCTCTGTGGCTAAGTCAACGCGACCGCTTTGTAATGCCATGATGCCGGGTTCGATCCCAGCTGCAGGCCATGCGCCTTGCGTTGGTTTCGACAGTGGTATCAAGAAAGCCGACTGTCCAGAAAGCAATGGCAAACTACTGGACGTAAATTTGCTAGAAAAACCACACAACAGTCAGGGGCTGTTGGGGTTGGTTCTGCAACGTCCTGTAAAGGATACGCAACTAACCTTATTGTAGATTGTGGCAACACAACAGCCACTCCCACTGCGGCTATTGCCCTTGCAATATAAGTCAGTTTTAAAAAAAAAAAGATTACTCATATGGCAGTTGTGGAAATAAAATTAACACTTCTTCGTCTCATTCACTAGCTGCAGTCTCTGGTTAAAAGTTGTGTTTGTTTGTCCACCTTTGGACTTTGATCCTCTTTCCTGAGGCATGCGTATCCATTTTACAGATCTGGCTTATTTGTATTTAGACTGTTTGTCCCTGTGACTTCGAAGGAGACATCCATAGTTATTCGACTCTCATGACATGTTTGTTAGGTTGCAATGGGTCATCTTTTTTTCTCCCCCACAATGGGGCTCCAGAACCCATACAGGGAAGATTAATACAGTGGAGGACAGCTTTCTATTTTTCTTTCTGTTTTTCTTCCTGTCTTTCTTTTTCTTTCTTTATTTCTTTTTGACATTCATATGAGAGAAATTTTGTTGGTTGGTTGGTTGGCACGTTTCCATCTTTCCAGACGACAGTGTTACATTATACATGGGAGCTCACAGCCCATGGCGATGGTGAGTGCGACTAGACCCACCCTCGATAAGAAGAGTTTTCCACAATTATTCCATTGGATTTCAGGACAGTTTCAGGACGCTTAGCTCACATCCTTTCCGGATCATTTCTTCCCTCATTCTCATTCCCCTTCTGATTTGCCCCCTCCAGGCGACATGATCTGTGGCATTTGGAAGCAGTTTTAAGCTTCTTTAAACTATCCTGACATTCAACATTCACCCAAACCCTCAGTGGACTGCGGGTTGTTCATCCATTTTTGAACTTTGCTCTTGTTCCAGAACTTGAGTTTTGCATGCACATCCATGTCACAGGCAGTTTTCTTTCTTTCTTTGACCATTTTGGGCCATCCGAAGGGACCAGAAAAGGTTTGGTGAAGCCGTTGAAATCAGGTGCCATATTTATAACAACTTTGTAGGCCTATCTGATATTTGCCCTGTTGGTATAACATTCAGAGGAGCGGCTGACTGAAGAGTTAGAATGCAAGTTTCTCGTGCGGGAGACCCAGGTTTAAATTCTCGATAAGGCTGTGATTTTTTTCTTTTGAGGGCAAAATAAAATCCAAACCTGCACAGTCTGTGGTGACAGCACTAGCCGTGCAGCCCGAAATCCTAGGGCTCAAAGATCCTTCTGACTGCACTGCAAAAGTGGTAATTACATGCGGTAATGGCTGGTTTTTGTTTAAGGGGGGGGGGGGTGTCTAACATCCAGATAAGATTTTTGAATTTCAATGTGTCAGACTACAGGTAGCAGGAAAAAAAAGGGGGAGGTGGGGGGAAAGGGGGAGGGGGTGGGTTTGCAGACAGCAGGCATTTCCTGTCACTGGAATACAATATCGGCGTATGGGCACGTCCTTCAAGATGTCAGCTTCATCCTTTGGCTGGCCTTCTGGTATAGTAGCTGCTGCTGGGTTGACTATTCTATCCGATCTTACATTACTGACATTATCCAGTGGATGCCCAGTAGACCTGTCAACTAAGTTTGGGGGAAACATAAGAGACCTTGGGATGACATCCAAGTTTATGGCCCACAGTGGATTAAGTTCATGACCAGAGATTGCTGAAGAAGAAGATCCGCATATGAAGGTATACAGATAAACATTCATGATCTATAAATTTACACAAAGCACTCCATGCATGCTCATAGATGCTTCATCTTCCACAGCAAATATCATAAAGCATAGATTCTGATCATTCCAGAAGCACACAGGTTGTACATCTTCCTTTCCTTTGTCCTTTCTTGCCTAATCCCAACTTACCCTTAATGTCACGCCATCTTGCGTATATTGTGTAATCAAATGTTGCTTTTTGGGATTCTACCCTCCCCGTTTGGGTTCCGGGGCCTACCCAAAAAAAAGCACGTCGTCTATGCGGCATCTGTGGCTTAGGCGTTGCGAATGTGCTTTGTAATGCCAGGTTCGATCCCCGCTGCGGACGATTTGTCGTATGTTGTTGTTGTTGTTATCGATCCAGCGGCGCATGAGCTTTTGCCCTTTTGGCCCAATGCCATGTAGTGGAATTTGCATGTTTTCACAAGCTGTTCTTTTCCTCCGTACAAGGTGTTCCACTTGTCTGGTCTCAGAGGGAGTAGCATTCTTCTAGTCTCGCTGAGTTTTGTTCAACAGTTTTGTAGGGGTAGTTATACAGCTGGCACTCTGGGGAGTGATGTGGCTGTATTCTGTTTAGATGTCCATTGAGTGGAGTA